CCCCTCTGAACTCTGTTAATTTTTTCTGTAGCTTTCAGAACATAGAGTTGTTGGATTTTTTTTTCCTTTCTTTCAGAACTGTGATTTGAACTCGTACTTCAGGTGTCTTACCACACCTCCAGTTCTGTTTTGATTTAGTTTTTGCTTTAGTTATTTTCTTTTGAATAGGCTGTTTTTTAATGACCAGGCCAGCTTTACCTCTGTCTTCCTATTTATGTTTCCTAGAAACTTGGGCTGACAGATACATCACCAAGGTACCTAACTTGTTGTTTAAGATGGGGTCTTAGAAACATTTTGCCCTGGCTGGCCTGTATCAGGATCCTCCTAGCCCTTCCTCCTCCCACCAATAAAACCCACACAAGCCTGTAGCTAGGGTTACAGACATGAGCCATCATACCTGGCTTGAGCATAGATTCCAAGAATAAATGTATATACTTCATTAAGCAAAATTCCTGTTCTTTCTGAATATTCCCAGCTACGTTGGCCCCAAAACTAGTTGTAAGGAATCCAGGATGACAAATCATAAATATGAGCCTATGTCTAGAGAGAGGGCATGGGGAGGTGCTATTAAACAGGATAGTTCGGACCTTTTACTGAATTCTTGTGCATAGCCCAACTGGGTCCCTCTCACAAGGCCTGAGGTTCTGACTGATCTCAAAAAATATATCTTTTCTCATATTTCTTACTTGATAGGACACATCACGAACAAAGAGCAGATAGTGGGCATCTCACACTTGGAAACTGAACTAGGTCATTGTTTTCTACAGAAGTCAGATCAGCCTGACCCAAGTTAAGTATTCTCTAATTTTTTTTTCCTTTTTTTTTTGGTCAGGTGATGTCCCTCAGCTCTTCAGCTCAAGGCTAGTGCTCTACCACTTGAGCCACAGCACCACTTCTGGCTTTTTCTGCTTTATGTGGTTCTGAGGAATCAAACCCAGGGCCTCCTGCATGCAAGGCAAGCACTCTACCACTGAGCCACCTTCTCAGCCCTATTCTCTAATTTTTGACTGAAGTTTTGGTTTCTAGAAGGAATAGTTAACTATCAGGCATATAGAATGGAAAGGGAACTCACTGAAGTTACTTTCTTACCAATAGTTCTTGAAAAGTTTTGTGATATTTTCATACAAGTGGATGTGTTTAGACAAATGGGAAATGTGTTTTTATGAAATACATGAACAAACCCTATAGACTTCTAGGCCAACACCACAATTTACAAGTGTTAAAGATGTAATTGGGAAGTGGTGCTGTGGCTCAAGTGGTAGAGCCCTCTCTTTGAGCCGAAGAGCTCAGAGACAGCAACCTAGGCACAGAGTTCAGGCCCCACGGCCAAACCCCTCTCCCCCCAAAAAAAGAAAAAAATGTAATTAGTATTAAAAGGGATGTTTCAGTCATAAAGTATCCTTCACTTATTTCCCTGGAAATAATGGGGAAGAAATGGATAAAGGTTACTTCTCTCTGTCTCTCTCTCTTTCTCCCTCTCTCTGTTTCTCTCTCTTATCTTTCTCTCCTTTTCGTTATCTCTCTTCTCTCATTCTTGCTCTCTTACTATCTCACTCCCTCTCCATGTATGTTTGTGTGTTGTATACTTATTTCAAAGTGAATAATAAACACTGTTTTTTTTTAATTTGTCCCTTCTCAGTCTACTACCCACAATGGGGATACTGAATTAGAGGAATGCAGAAAATTTATTTCTCCATAAAACCTCTCAATCCACAAGGGGCGATAGGAACTAAGTAGTTACTTTGTTTTTTGGAATTTTCAGATATAAATAGCATTTCTCAAAAATACTTCAATGTCACAGAAGGGAAACCTAACAAAATGTCTAATGACAAGTATGATAGCCTAACTTTACTAAAAATATTTCAGAGGGAAGAGTACCTGGGATAAGAGAAGGGATATCTTCTCTTAGTTCCTCATGCTAGTGTTGGAGCTGTGTGGTTCACCCTCAAGAGAGAAAAGTAAAATATTTCTGTACCACATAAGTACATACAATTGTTATATGTCAATTAAGAGTAACAGTATTAACTGAAAACAAGTTACAGCAGGAGGATAAGAGTCAGTGGGAGAGCTCAGGGCTGCCCGGGCCCCAAGGAGTTCCCGCATAAATCAATAGCCACTAGAGTCCTTTTCAGTACCTAATACTAGCCCAGGCACCTAGTTAGTACTCAATAAATATTAATTGTAAATAAACTGTGGGTCTGCAGCTAGGATAATGTGATGCCAGTTTTTCCAGGAATGAACAAATGGGCCAGAGGAAGAGAAAGCACAAGGGTCATGTACCCAGCTGTAGAAATGGATTGGAAGAGGAAGAGAACACCACCACGTGCACCTTGATCAGGTAGAGATGAAGTGACAATGTGACAACTGTTTGCAAACATCAGAGGTTATAAATGCCAAAGGAGTGAGGCAACTCTTCAGCTTAGTATCTGGCAGTCAGCTATGGTTATTGGTGATGATAATTATAGTTCACCATTCATTTATTCATGCAGGATGCCACCAATAAGATGTTAGAAAATCTTTTGGGATTCAGGCGTCTAGTGGCAGAGAGTAAACACAGTGGGATAGTAGAGATAGCTTCCAGATTTCTAGACCTGCTTCATCTCCCC